AAAACATTTATTATTGATAATTTGGGTTGCTAGTGATTGTACATTCTAGTCTGGAGGACTATTGGCTCTTCCCGCCACCCGAACTCGGTTCACCTTATTGTTGCACTGAGTACAAGCTGGACTATTGCGGGACCATGTTTAGCGGATATATTAAGATTGTTTTTGCACTCCCAAAACATATTAAATAAAGTGGCTGTCTCAGCTTGCAACAAACATGTTAGTGAAAGTTCGTCGTCACCCCCGATATATTCTTGTGATAAGTACTTCTCCCCTTTGAATTGACCTTATAGAGTGTGTTACAAACGCGAAAACTCAAACGCTCCTGTAGCAGCTCAAAAACTATACCAATACAGTTTCCTGTCTATGTGTATAAGTTATTTCACTTCACTAACTTCACAACGAAAAGCATCGAATATGTGAGTTTTCGAGCATTGTACTAGGCTTCCTTTGTATTCATAACTATTTTAATTAAAACAAAGTGTGCGCTTATGCAGCATCGCCACGACAAACAGACCAACAGCAAAAAAAATGAGCAGAAAAGTGATGAAAGAGACACACGCGAAGTCCTATAAATTCTCGCAATAAGTTCTGTTCACGCATGCAAACAAGGTAACAAAAAAAAAGTGAAGAGGAAAGCGCTGAAGCCCTGCCATATATGTTTACATCTGGCAGTCTTGGAGCAAGCAGCTCTCCTAACTTGTGCGCCAGATGGAAACATTCCCAGAGAGGTAAGCCGACAGCAAAGAAGTGAGATATTTCCCACTTTCCATTGCCAACAGATGCTCCAGCTCTGTGTCTCGCAGGCTGCCATTTACCTGCGTGTTTTTTTAACATCTGTATAAATAAAAGCCCACATCTTAGGCGTTATAACTTGGAGAGAAGAGGAGGGATTCAGTGCACATTTACCTAATATATTAGGCAGGAAATATCTGGTACATGATGTCACACTTAGCGCATAGAGTAATGCAGGGAAGGACTTAGTTTGCGACTAAACCTGCAGTCATTCAGCTACAGAGACGACTACCCCTTTAAGTACATCGGCTGTACACTATAGTCTTAATAAGGTTGCTCGTCTCAAAGAAATTCTACGGAAACAACGTTTGTAACAGTTCAAAGACGCTATAAGTCATGCCGCGAGCTCAGCAGATGAGATAACCGGAACATGGCGAATGTTCTACAGGCGGCAGCTTAGTGCAGTTGTAATCCGAAGTGCCCATGGCTTCCTGGGTGTTGTTTGATACCACAAAAGAAAGAGAACAGTTACGGCTGGACATGTTTTATTTCTCGAGCGAGAATTTTGAGAAGGCTTTGCGGCGGGATGGCGTCGGAATTTTCCGGGAGCCAGTGCTAAGCGAGCACCAGGATCAGCATGACCAGGTACTCCTCGAAGCGGACATTGACCACGCCGGCCTTCTGGCGGTCGAAGCGCCGGAACGCGTCCGAGGCGCTCTTGACGAACATGCAGGCCTGGATGAACTCGTCGAAGTAGACCTTTCCCCCTCGCACGAAGCGGCGCTGCAGCAACGCGTTGAAGCGGTCCGAGAGCGTGTAGTTGCATTCCTTGAGCGCGGTAGCCATGTTGCGGGTCTCGATGGTGCCCCCGTTGTTTGGGTCGAAGTGCCGGAACGCGCTCGACCAGTCCGTCACGTAGCGGTACAGCTCACTGAACTCGTCGAAGTTGATGGTGCCATCGTGGTTTCGGTCGAAGAGGTGCACGAGCATCCGGGCCGTCTCCATGTTGAAGGGACGCCAGGTGCCGGTCGACAGGGCCATCTGCAGCTCGCGGTAGTCGATCGCGCCATTGTGACCCTGGTCGGCAGCCAGGAAAGTGGTGCGCAGGGTGACCTGGTTCAACGGTTGTCCGCCGATGTGCGCCATGCCTTCGTTGCCGCAGATCCAGAGGATTCTTGCTGGCTGCGAGTTCTGCGGGGCGCGTGACCACGTTCGCCCAAGAGGAACGCAGCACCTACCTGATGATGATGATGATGCGCCTGGCATGATTGGCGCCTACCCAGTATGGGTGATCGGCCGGAGTCGGGTGGATCATATGGTCATAATTTTTTTTTCAAATCCTACTATACGTAGTTTATTAGAAAAAAAAGAGCTTTTTCTGAATTAATCTAAATTGAAGACTACTATGAAGCGTAACCTACTGGACACTATGTAGAAGCAGATGCGCATGTAGATCCTAAAATTTTATCACTATGGCTCGGGAGCATTTCTTTAAGAATCACGTAATAAAATAAAATATTCGAACTATAGATGACAATTCTATTGTTTTTTGTTTATTAAGTATCTCTTTCGTCTTTAATCAACAACACTTCCTTCTGTTTATTTTGCAAATGCAAGCTGCTCTGTCACCTGGGCTGAATAGTCCCGAATTTATCACCTCGCACAATAAGCGTGTCAATGAAAATTTAACCATCACCATGCACCTCAAAACGACGCAGGTTCTTCAGCTATTTTAGTAAATTTCGTCACAAGCAGTCAACCGCATAGTTTAAAAGCTCCAAATTGCACTCTTTGGTCCCGGAGTCTAACTTTGTCCTTCGACGTGATCCTCTTCGTTGTCGTTCAAAATAATTCGACGTTGCTTGGCTATACACCTGGGATAAAACTTCATAGTCTGCGCGTCGCGTCGGTGTACGCAGGAAGTTGAAAAAACCGAGCCTCGTTGCTGATGCAGCTTCCGTATAAGACGCAGAGGCAGCTCAGCGGATATTTTAGACACCTTAAAGTCGTATATCACGCCGGCTTGGGAAAATATGAACTGCTTCTTTCAGAGGCGAAGTGTCCACCCAGCCTAAAGCCCGCGGCCCTCCTACCCCTTACAGACTGCGTGAGACTTCTCGGCCTTTCTCGCCAAACGCACACAACCGCACGTGCGCTGGCACCAGCCCCTCCCGTCATTTATGCGCATAGGCCAGCCCCTTGTATCGTAGTATCGTACGCATTGGCGTCTTGCGCAATGCGGTACGACGTGCAATGCGCAAGGAAAGTCAATGTTATACAAAGGGGCACCTCGTTTGAAACAATCCCGGCTGCGGCGACTGCATTTTCGATGGAGGCGAAAATGCTGTAGGCCCGTGTGCTCAGGTTTGAGTGCTCGTTAAAGAACCCCAGATGGTCAAAATTTCCGGAACCCTCCACTACGGCGTCTCTGATAATCGTATAGTGGTTTTTGGACGTTAAACCTCACATATCAATCATCAATCAACCTCATATAAAACGACTTGATCGGATTCGCGGGGAACGGATCACACCGCGGTGACTTGGGCCTTTCGTTTTCTCTCTCGCTTTTATTTTTGTTCAGCGGCTGTCTCCATTGAGTTGACGAGTTCGTAACTCAACCACAGCCGCCTCATTCCAATGAATGCGAATGCCCAAACTGTCCATTATTATTGCTTTGAACACGCGACAGGATTCGCAGGTCAGACTTATACCCATGGAGTCGCTCTGCGGCGTTTTACATGTTACAGAAGTTGCCTTCGAACGTGAAATGCCATCGGTAGAGAACTACTTGTAGCGTTCGGTGTTTCTTTGTTTCGCGGGGCCCAAGCAATGTCGTGTCCGCTTGTTTCTCCGACAATCACGCTGACGAGCTCAGATAAAAGTTTCAGTGTGCGTTTTTGTCTTTGTAGGTGTTGGTAACACACTTGCGAAGCTTGGTAATGTAGAGTGTGGGGCTAGTTAAAACGTACTCACGACGGATCATACTCGTGTCGTGTAGTTTTTTCTTGTATTTCGTGTCCTATTTGCGCTCAGTGCCATTCCAAATGAGTTTACTCATTGACTTGTTCGGTCATGTGTAATGGCATAAATTATGGTATCTTTCAACTCTATAGAGTGAAGTGGAGCATCGCGATGGACACTGTGTTCTGGTATAGGTCTAGCGTAGATGATCCATCAAGCACATAGAAAATCTACGTGGGGTATATTACATTAAACAAAAGTTCAAGATTATTGAGTATCTCAGCATGAGACATCTTATATTGTGAGTGGCACCACTGTACCAGGTCGTCGTTTGTATGTAAATGTTCCTAAAGTTTAAACACTAAAGCTACAGTTTCGTCTAAAACGTTTGCCCCTGTATGGGTGACAGAAGTCGAATGGGCCTCAGTTCTATAAGCAAACACTATAGAGAGCGCACACATAAGGTTACGCATTCCTACAGTTTAAGCACCCAGGCTACAGTTTCGTCTGAAAACTTCGACCTGGGTGAAAAAATTCGGATGGGCCTTAGTTCTATATCAAACACTATAGGAGCTCCCTATAGAGTGAGCGCGTGCACACTTTTTTGTAACCACTGTGTGTGCTTAAAAATGAACTTGCTGGTAAGCCTTCAGAATATTTCAGGACTTGGAGAGAGCTACACAGTCGAACAGCCGCTCGGGAGGAACAGAAACAAAACGCGCAACAAGAAAGAACGTAAGCTGAAAGACGGAAGGGCAAAACTGTTGGGTCGCGTGCGTTAACACTGCCGTCAAGCAGAGCAGATGCTAAACCTTTTCTCGGCGCCGCCGATATTGCAGCAGCTGCTTCGACCACACACAGGGTGGGAGGCGAGATTTCTGCGCTGCAGCCAGATTAAAAATTGATTTTGAGCACAAAAGCACGAGCCTCGCAGAAATGTCTGTGTGTGCGCTTGTGTATGAGGGCGGGGAGGGGTTACGCAGCTATAGAATATATTGTGTAAGCATCGCTTTCGTCCTGTGACTGGCAGATACCCGAGAGCGGAGTCACGCGAAACAAAAGAATCACTCCGCTAACGAAACAAGCCGCGCTCCTTGTGAGAGTTGAAGGGGATAAAAAAACTAAATTATTTGTAGCTTTCGCTTTCTTCTTTTCCTCGGTTTTTTTTTTTTGTCCTTCCTGTCTGTGTGGAAAACAAAGACAACGATCTATATTGATTGCTGACACAACTTTGGAGGCAGACAGCGTCCCCTACGATTTGTCACTGCCAACTAAACAGAGAATTCCCTTTCTTCTTGTCTTCGCAGGAAACGGCTTCATTGAAGGACGAGAGCTGGACAACTTTCTCCGCGAATTTGTTTCCAGCGTCAGTTTGTCCGACGTAGGACCAGAGGTAAGCCTTTATTTCCTTTTTCTTTCTTTCTTTTCTTCTTTCTTTCTTTCGTTTTATGTTAAAACGCGTTTTCCTCAAAGCCACATAGAAGTGACAGAGAACTGATAAAAAATTTTAAAAAATAGAAGAAGCGCTGTAGTTATCCTTTTTCAACTAGCCCCTGCAGCCGGTGATCTATCGGCATCATTATCAACGGGGACACATAGTCCTTAAAAAGAACCATTAGGATACCTTGCTGCAACTGTCGAGAACACAAACGCACAGATTGGGCAGCAAAGAGAACGAGTTTTTCAATGAGTCACGCCAGGTCTAGTTACAGCGGCTGAGCATGTCGTGACCTCAATAACATATAGCAAGGGCGCATATTCTACGGAAGACATAAATACGACATAGCTGTGGGCAAGATACGTATTTTATACGTCAGGGTGGTCGTCTTTTTTTTTTCATTTATTTATTTCTGCGTTTTTCGCTGGTACAAACGAGGCTCCGTGGTCACTGGGTCAACGTTATTACCGAGCCCGGCTACTCAGCTTGACACGTGATAAGAAAATAAAATGGACGATAAAGTGGCAGGTAGCACAATACGGGCACGGCTCAGATTGAACGCGGGGGTCTTCAAAATAATAATAGTGGTAAAGCAAGAACGGTGTATCATAGAGTTTCCTAAAAATTAACTAGAGGGGACTCTGGCGCTGCGATCGTTCAGCGACCATGGGAATGATGGGTAGTACACACATTTGCCTAGTCTTCGTACTTGCGGGTGGCGAATCGTACTTGCGGCTTCGTTCATTGCTGGTTGCGGTTTTGTTTTGAAGGAAAGAACGAACCCTTTTCTGTTTTGAAAGAAAGAACGAAATGGTAAGCCTAAAAGAATAAGGTGGTGAAGCGCAGTCGCTGAACATTTTCTCTTTTTTTTTTCGTGAAAAAACAGCTCTAAGCCACACGAACACACACGGCGCCAGAAGCAGGCCAGAAGCACAAAAATTAGACAAATCTGTGTACTACCCATCATTTCCATGCTCGCTGAAGCGCCGTGCGTTGCAGCTCCCATAGACATCAGCGCCAGAGTTTCCTTTAGTGTATATTACGAAACTCCATATGCTGTGTATCACTCACCGACGCCGGTGCGTTTTACAGTTGCAACGTCATCCCTCCAGAACGCAGTTCACAAAATTCAGGAGTCAAGTTCTGTGAAGAGGAATTCGGCATTTAATTTTATTTCTTTTTCTATTTTCTCGAACGAAGTCACGCTTCGCCATTGCCGGCACTGGTCATTCAGCGAGATGACTCATAACGAAACCTGTCGTGCCACAGAGGTCGCACAGAATTTCGAAACAGCCGATCACATACCGCGTGACTAAATCCGGAACGTCTGTCGAGAGAGTACCTTTTGTATTAAACGTATTCTCCTTGAGAGTCTTCCATCCGAGAGCGAGCATCTTTTTGCCATGACATGCGTCGTCCCGCCTGGCTTGCCACATGCGGTTGGCATTTCGTGCACTACCTTATTTGGTGTATGCCACCCGGGCGTTCCGTTCTTCATTTTCAGCGGACCAGGGGTTAGTAGAGGCGTTTGCCCCATTTATGTGTCACATGCGCTTCAGCTCGCGGACAATGAGCATGCAGCAGGGGTCATCTCAAGCTCACTGCCATCAGTGGGCCGCATTCGCGCAGTTCAGTCCCGCGAGAACTGAGGAACAACTAAAATGTAGACGCCATTTCTCTGATAGTTTTTGTTCATGACACGGTGACCGCCTCACGATAACAATGCTTTAGACCGGTCATGTCTGAGCAGCTCACCAGCATTCATATGAAGAAAATATAAGACATTTTGGGCGTGAACGGCCATGTTAGGGCATCAGGCCGCAAGCAATTGGCTTTCGGGCTGCATGTTTGGGTGTTTGAGACTTCTGCCCTGTAGGCACATAAAGCTATCCCGTAAAAATAAACCCCCACTAAACTGAGAGCAGTGCTTCCACATTAGTGATTTTTTTCCCTCTCATATCTTGTGAAAACTACTGCGGCGTTACAAACCCGTGTTGAGAGAGAAAATTAGTCATCATCATGTGCAGTCCAAGAAGATAGTAAGCGCAAACGGCCCACTGAAGCTGCTGATGGCCCACTGTTGACATTTCTTTCATTGGGAATCACTGTGGCTTTATGCGCCACAGTCACTATATAGCTGTAGGAAAATCTAGCCATCACGAGAATCGCTTAGCCCACGGCTCCTACATTACTCCTACGGTGTCTCGGGGCTTGAAAGAAATTGCAACGTTAACAATTGAAGGTGTACCATTGTTTCGAGGAATAAACCTTTGTTTGAAGGACGCAAGCTTTGAAGTCTTGACCGAGCATCCGTCGAGTGAAACCTTTGATACCACACCAGACTTCACCAATAGTAATAGGGCTAAAATTCAGCCACTACAGATACCACTTCTAGTTTCTGAATGTCCTTAATGAGATGTATAGTAACTTATTTTCTTTCTATCACGAAGTGCATTTTATAATACGCTCACATTTTTTATTGTTCTTGTTTAAATATTCGCACAAAAAAGAAGCATACAAATTACTCATCGGCTCTTTATTAAGAGCCATACACCTCGAGTTTCGCAAAATATATGGGGAGGAAAAAAAATGAGCACTCGTGAAAGAGAGACAAGGCGCTGCTAATAATTCGTGCACGCTTGAGCACTCTATTACCACCCTATCTGATCATACATACATTGTAAATGCTTGAGGCCGAAATTCTCAATGAAACAAAGTGCTTGAACTGTTTCATTGTAAAATTGAGAACTTGTTCTGTGCTGTCTCTCCTTTTTTCTGTCTCTTTATTATTTTTAAGGCGCAGCCACTCGTAATTTATGAAAACGTTCTTTTATGCGCAGACTGCATTATGGACACATAGGTTCTGTGAAAACTGGCAAGGCAACGCGAATGCAGAGCTTTTTTTTTTTTTCAGCGTTGTTCATCGCAACGCTTCGAATGTGTGGTAGAGGTCGAATCCTGATTGGATTAGAGAGGCGTCATCGAGCAGAACGTTTGACTGAACTAAGTTACTCGCATTCACGGTGCAATCTCTGCACGCTCGCGATCCCTGAGTGAGATCGATTCGGAACCGGGCGCGAAACCAAGAATCCGCCGAAACTGGCTCATTTATAAACAATTAAAGTGCCAGGCGTTTCTTTATTCGAACCACCGAGCGCCTCGCCCAGTATTGGTCTCCCTCGCTCCTCCAGGACTCTTGTGCTCTATTTCGGCTTTCGATTCTTTTTTCTTTTGTTTTTTTTTTATTTTTCGACAATTTCGCCGGCAGTAAACAGGCATGCATTACGTATACTTTCTCTGGCGTCTCATGGTGGCGTTCTTCCTTTCTTTCTTTCTTTCTTCCTTTCTTTCTTTCTTTCTTTCTTTCCTTCTTTCTTTCTTTCTTTGTTTCTTTCTGTCTTTCTTACTATTTATCTGTCTTTCTTTCTTGTTTCTTGTTTGACTTCTTTCTGGGCCGAAGTGAGAACGACTTCGACCCGGACTCATTACTCTTTCAGCCGCCTGTCGGCCCTTGGGTAGAAATTGCTGGCGTCCTGGTTCCTGGCGTTGCTTCTAGCAATGAGCTTCCCGCTCCCTCAGGAGCGATTGAGAGGGATCGCAGAACCAACGAGATGGCGCGCCCTCAAAGAAAACATCTATACACGTATTTTTATTCAAATGGCTCCCACCAAGACAGGAGATGTATGCCCTCTTCGATGTGTAGGAAAAAACAAAGAAAGAATACGGAACCTTCAGGGGGTAGGCATACCACACTAGAGGGCCGGTGCGAAATGCATTACCGCGTTGGAACCACACAGGGCTTGTAGCGCATACGGTTTTGACAAGAACGTGTAGTGAAAGACTTTCCAGTGGTTTTATTGTCAATGTAGTAATTTTTGTCAACTGGCTGTTTCGAGCAAGTCCGTAATATAAACTTTTGCATTTTACCTGGAGCATCTTCCTATTTGCATATAGAGACGGCAGTTTGCAGCATAAATATTGAACAAGTGGCTTCATGTTCTGCGCTGTGGACGTTCTAAAAGGATGTCACACCCGCTGTCTCACATTTCGAACGACACTTGCATTGCAAGCGAAGATGCTCTGTTCGGGGAACATTCGCAACATGTAAAAATGACCGCGCATCACACGTTGACGCTTTAGAAAGCTCCAAGTACGTCGTTCATATTCTTATGGTCGTGATTAAATTAATTTCTTAAATGCCATTTAGCCCCGCCATGGTGGTCTAGTGGCTAAGGAACTCGGCTGCTGACCCGCAGGTCGCGGGATCAAATCCCGGCTGCGGCGGCTGCATTTCCGATGGAGGCGGTAATGTTGAAGGCCCATGTGCTCAGATTTGGGTGCACGTTAAAGAACCCCAGGTGCTCGAAATTTCTGGAGCCCTACACTACGGCGTCTCTCATAATCATATGGTAGTTTTGGAACGTTAAATCCCACATATCAATCAATGCTGACCCGCAGGTCGCAGGATCGAGTCCCAGCTGCGGCGGCTGCATTTTCGATGGAGGCGTAAACGCTGTAGGCCCGTGTGCTCAGACTTGGGTGCACGTTAAAGAACCCCAGGTGGTTGAAATTTCCGCAGCCCTCCTCTACAGCGTCTCTCATAATCAAATGGTGGTTGTAGGGTGTTATACCCCACATATCAATAATTAAATGCCATTTATGCAAGAAACAACATTTTTGTCTCGAGTCGAATGCTTCATTCGGTCTCCAGGATTGCTACATTTATTCCGGTATGCATGTCTAAAAAGAGTAATAAAGGCTAACGAAGTGTTACTCTACGAAAACACCTGATTTGAGAGCTTTGAGATAATTATCCCCCGTAACATCTCCACTCGTACTGAGAGTAATAAGAGGCAATTAAAGAAAGTCTTTTTTATGCGACGCGCAGGTTTTAGCATTCGCAACAGGCCCTACATTTAAACATTATTAGTAATCTGCAAACTGCTTTAATCGTT